CCTGTGCCCTGACACCATCTTGTCTCCCCTGATCCTCCTCTTCTCCAGGATAAACAATCCCAGCTCCCTCAGCCACTCCTCACAGGACTTGTGCTCCAGACCCCTCCCCAGCCTTGTTGCCTTTCTCTGCACACACTCCAGCCCCTCCATGACCTGCCAAAACTGAGGGGCCCAGAACTGCACACAGCAATTCAGGTGCTGCCCAACCGCTGCCAAGCACAGGGGAAGAATCCCTGCCCTGCTCCTGCTGGCCCCACCATTCCTGATCCATAGGAGTGCCAGGGGTCGGATGAGGGAAATGGTGAGGAGGGGGTGGGGACAAAGTGTTATTGATTGTCAGCCATGAAGAGTCTTGATTTTCTTATCTATTCAGGCTAAATTAGAAGGTGCTGGGTGTCAATATCAATTTGACATTGCTGATAGCAATCTATAAACAGGAAAAATAATTTAAGAGACTAAGATAATTCTCGCTGCTTTTTTTTTTTCAATTTAGCAGATTCACTTTGAATACACTTCTGAAATTTTTCTAATTAACCACAGAAGAATTGAAAACTAAAATTATTCCCATTGGCTTTCCTTATTCTGGTGTTTTGAGCAAATTTTTGTGAGCTTGTCTCACTGAATTCCTGAAGTGAAGAGCCCAAGAAAGAAGAGGCCTCTGGAGGATGAAAATTCATCANACCTGGGCTCCATCTGCACCACTGTCCCCAAAGCCATGCACAATTCCCTCTGGGACACCAGGAACATCTCCTACACAGGATGTGCTGCTCAGCTCTTTTTCTTTGTCTTCTTCATCTCAGCAGAGTATTTCCTCCTGACCGTCATGTGCTACGACCGCTACGTGTCCATCTGCAAACCCCTGCACTACGGGACCCTCTTGGGCAGCAGAACTTGTGCCCACATGGCAGCAGCTGCCTGGGCCAGTGCCTTTCTCAATGCTCTGCTACTCACAACCAATACATTTTCCCTGCCCCTGTGCCATGGCAATGCCCTGGGGCAGTTCTTCTGTGAAATCCCCCAGATCCTCAAGCTCTCCTGCTCCAAATCAAACCTCAGGAAACTGGGGCTCATTGCAGTAAGTGCATGTTTGGTATTTGGGTTTTTTGTGTTCATTGTTTTCTCCTATGTGCAGATCTTCAGGGCTGTGCTGAGGATCCCCTCTGAGCAGGGACGGCACAAAGCGTTTTCCACCTGCCTCCCTCACCTGGTCGTGGTCTCGCTGTTTGTCAGCACCGGTACATTTTCCTACCTGAAACCTCCCTCCATGTCCTCCCCATCTGTGGATCTTGCCCTGTCAGTTCTGTACTCAGTGGTGCCTCCAGCCCTGAACCCCCTCATCTACAGCCTGAGGAACCAGGAGCTCAAGGCTGCAGTGCGGACATTTATGACGGGAAAATTTCAGGAACATTAAACTGCTGTCTAATTTCTGCAAATCACTTGTAATAAAATAATCTTTGATACTTGTTGGTTTCATTTTGGAGGTTGTTTTCCTTTTTTTTTGGTATTTTTATATTGTCCAAAAAAGAAAATGTGATTGTGCCATTTCTCACTTTGTTTCTCTCCACCTTCCCTGTGGCCCCAGACTGTGTCAATGATGGGCTGCACTCTCAGTGGCTTTAAAGGAACTAAAGGATGTCCCAACAGAGTTTTCTACAGAGATGTCCTT